GATGGGGCTGGGGGAATTACATACAGAAATTTTGAAAAAACAAGTGGTGAGGTTAAATGACAAATGAAAATAAATAAATGCATATATACACATTATTTTATATATTCAACCCAACCTTGACATGTGTAGTCGGAAATTCAGTAGTCCGGAGTGTCTCCTGCACCAGGTCTCGAGTTTTTCTCTTAGGAATACTAAGAACAATGGCAGCCTGATCAGATGTAGCTGCAGTTGACGTGATACGATAACCGGCATTCCACCTCTGATGAATACCTTCACTCGGATAAAGAAAGTCCAACTCCACAACCTGGAAGCCAAATTGCAAGGAAATTTTAGCTGTGATTGGATATTGAAGTATCTAATTTTCATTCCGCCAAATGAACACTTTTTCTGTAAAAGTTGCGACCGGATATCAAAATTTTAATAAAATTACGATGAATACTCAATTGTCAGTTTTCCTCTCAATTTAATCAACATAATTTTTTAAATGAAACACTGTCATTACTATACTATAACTCCTTTACGAGCTCCATAACAATAACTTATATATTCTATTAAAGAAAGCCCTTCATGTAAACTGCTTCGAATGGGTTTCCTCTCATCAATTTCATCATAATATTTGAAAAAGAATAGTCAATAGCAACCCAAAATTCTCAATCAATACCTTACGCATTTTATCTCATTTCTGCATCAATCAATTTAATTCATTTCATCATTTTTACATCACTATTCTTTAAGTGGGAGAAATTTTTTTGGCGAAGACTGTATATGCATTTGCAGGCCTTAACCATCGAGGTTGTTAAAACAAGAGCCAGAAATAAAAATAGAAACTCTTACAGAAACATACCTGCTTTGAAAACCCAGCACCACGAGACATAACAATTGCCCATTTCGTCCCCGAGGTGCCCATGGTGGTCACATGGAAACCCTCCTTCCATTTCTTGTTTATCCACTTAAACGGAAAAGAATCACTTACTTTATAAGATTGCTGATTATATGGGGTACCTGAATATATTTAAGGTGAAAAGATAGATAGTTTTATCATTCATGACAATGAGAACAAATATAAAAATAAAAATATGCCGCATTGCTTGGTGAAGCGAACCCTTGGACATAACAACCAATGCCTTCCCATTGTCAGCTCCCGCCACTGCAGTGATGTAATATTTCTTTTCCCATTGTTCCATGATCCATTCCTGCAGTTCACGCAACAAAATTTTAATTTGCCTGCCTACTTATCACTAACACGTTAACAGTATTCCAATTGGGTCAGTAGCTTAAGATTATAATAAATAATTCAGCGTGCACATAAACTAGAATATCTAGAATATACAAAAGAACTTACTAAAAAAGATGTAACCATTAACTTACTCTAATTAATTCTTTCCAATTTTTAGTTAATTTATTTTATTTAATATATTTTTTTCAAATATTAAAATGACCACTCATCGTTTCAGCATAAATGCACAAAAGTACAAGACCTTATCAAGGAAACAAGATGAAAGTGTATAGAGTTGAGTATTGATGCCAGTCCCTCCCTCCATAATTACAGCCCACATGTTAGAACACGATGCTACACTGGAGATCGACAATCCTTCTGCGTATCCTTTTCCAATATGTGCAGCTAATCTCGAATCCACAACTGTGTAGTGATACCTGCAAGATAAAAAGAAAAACATTTCTGAACTTAAAACTCCAGACAAATCAAGAAGAAAATTTTTAGTTAAAACAATGATACCTTTGTTTGATTTGCGGCCCAGCATTGTACACAGTAATCCACTGCAATGCAGATGTCCCGACACGAAGCTTTTTCTTTGGCTCCTCGTCCATATCATCATCAATCATAAGCCGACTTCTCTTTAGTCCCACCACCTGTACGAGCTTCAAAATGCAAAAATGTACATTTTATGCACATGTATGCATACATAATAATGCACATTTTCATGAGTTAAAAAATATAAACGCGCAAAAGATGTGGAAAGAATAAATACATATAGATACATCATTCAAGATGTTTATGTACACACACACACACATTCAGAACAATTCACAAAAATGTACCTTCCGTGCTCCCTCAATATTGAGAGGCCTGATGATTGAATCAGGGCCCACTATTCCATCAAAAAGTGAAATATATTTGGCATAATTAGGTTCCTCGTCAAACCTTAAGTTAACAACAAGTTCAAGAAACTGCCTAAAAGGTGCAGGACAGAGGGAGCAAAGAGCTCCCGGCGAAGTAGCCATCTTCTTTTTGCACACCTCGAAGTTTTTAGTCTCGCCCTAAATAGACACATCATATAAGAATCAGATGAAAATTTCAAAACATAAGAAAAAAAAAAATAATGACGACACCCATTTCTGACCTGGCACCCTTGCCAAGGAAGCCGGCCTCGGATAAGAAAGATAAGAGTATATGCAAGCGACTCCAAATCATCCCTACGGCTACCAGTTCTTCCGAGATGAGCATGTACACTGGCATAACGAACAGTCCCCCTACAAAGATAACATTTCATTGCGTAGAAACCAGAACCAAAACAAAACTTCACCAAAATGCACACAATTAGAAAGAGCCAATTTTAGTGTATTTCAGTGTTCTTTTTAGGTTGCTAGTTCTTTTAGTTTCCCCTACAGTGGTTTATTATTATTTTCTTTCTGGGATTTTTAGTTCTTAGTTTGTTAAGGAATTTACTTTCCACGCCTCAAGGGTTTTTTTTGTTAGAACTTCAGTTTTATAGTGTTTTCTATATATTTCTATTTTTTTTGTATTTTTTAATCTTTACTTTTAAGGTACTTCAGGTGAGCTTCAACGATAAAATTGGAAAAAATATGTGAAATCACAAATCCACCTGAACACATCTGGACGTTGATCATAATCAACATGAAGGGATGTGGAGTTATCACGCCACCGGGTAGCTACAAAAGAGCAAGAGCAGGATAAGGTAAACACCATTAGAATCATAGAAGATTTTTTTTTTTTTTTTTAACTAGCTCACCCAATCCAAGGTCAACAAGATAAAGTTTCTTCTCATCAGGTGTTCCAGGTGGACCAAGCAAAAAATTCTCCGGCTTTACATCCCCATGCACATATCTGGAGCACATACAGTAGTCAAAAGTGTACAATGAATCTCAAAGTATGGGTAAATGGGAAAACATTTTATGCATATCAATACATATTCCAAGGAGCAAAGATAAAACCCACTTCATTAAATTTCAGAACAGACACGGAAACTATTGTTATGACCAGTTATGACTAAGATCAAACATTATTTTCTATCATCAGGCTCCAGTTAGTCAGGACAATTCAAATGTAATTTAGGAAAAATCACCCTCTAGAGTGTAACTTCTCTAAAATGGAGATTGCTTCAATGGCAATACACGAAACCATCTCAGTGGACATTCTGCAAGAGAGATGAGATATTAGATGCAATACCAAGCAAAGGAAAACAAGAATATGAAATTCCTAAATTTTATTTATTGGAATGAGACTTACGATGGAGATTTATTATTCCAGACATCCCACAAACTAGAGCCAAGCATATCCATAACCTGAAAGATTATAAGGATGGTCACATTAAAAGTTGGGAACAAACAAACATATCTAAGAAAACCTGGAAAAACTCAAATTTGCATGAGAGATGGATTACCATAATATAGTATTCACTTTGTCTCCCTTTAAAATGCAGACGTGGTATGCCGTAGCTACCACCAAGTGTGCTAAGAGCATCAATATCACAATACATTAATTATTTCATGATGTTTGAATGAGAAAGGACACGAAAAGCATCTAGACTTAACAAGATTGTTGAGAGAGAGAGAGACTCACTTGTAGACTTGCCATTCATGAGGTGGCCCATAATTACAGCCTTTGCTGCTCCTGTGCTCAAACTTCAATGCAACCTATAGGAGTAAGGAATGCTTAAAAAATAAAAGCAATGGACTCCCAAGAATCAATAAAAAGAATTAGTAGATGAATGAATATACCTCTACAGCCAGTGGACCTGTTCTTTCATTTGGATTTAGGGGGTTGATTTGGCGACCTACATACACCTGTCCAAATCCTCCTTTCCCCAGCTTCCTCTCAATTCGATAAGCAGGTGAACCACCAACCTTGACCTAATGCAGAAAAATAAAATACTAATCAAAAGGTGGTACATAAATCAATTCACAGAAATATTTATAGAAATAAGATTTAAACTCAAACAAAATTCCAAAAGATGAGATACACAGACAAGAGCCTTGCAATCAATAACTTTCCATATAAAACCAAATACTTCATGTCCACTTTCCCCACACGATAACAGCGAAGAATTTGATCCACTCAGAATCAAATGATGCTCAAAATGAATCAACACATCGCACTAGAAATGCAAACAAAGACAACAAACATTTAATCACCCATGCCAACATATTGCAGGGATATACCCAAAGCTTCCCCATAATTTCTCAAGCAACATCTATTAAAAGTATTGCCTTAAAAGACAAATTTACAAAAAGTACCACATAGAGCAATGGCATGCTACTAAAAACCAACAACTACAAACCTGTAAATGATTCCCACCCTAAAAGAAAAGCCAATTTCAACCAACTTTAACCAAACTTGACATCACAAACAAAACAAGAGGCAAATCTTACCCCAGTATACAACACATTTCTACACCTAAATAATCTCTCTTCACAATTCTCTCACCTCCAAACAAGAGAGAAAATAAAAAGTAAATCAAAGAAAACCAATAAAACACACAAACTGAGAGTACACTAATGAACAGAAGAACATTTAAACACATTCATATATAATACATATACACATTTGTATACATAATATTACTACCGACCCTTTTAGGAAGAGGAGGAGTGTTGGCCTCATCCTCAGCTCCAATTTTATGACTCCCGCATCCACCACTACCGTATCCGTCCATCTCAATGTTCAATGTTCAATTTTTCTGTCACACTAGCTTCACCCGCTACAATACACCCTTAAAGAAGTGATTTTCTTTGAACCCACCGCCGCTGGTGACTTATCCTTAATGATTAGAGTACCGCTCTTCACCTCGGTTCCCGTTTCCTTGCATGCGCACAGTTGCCTTACGGCTTCCGATCGTCGCTCAGGTCCGTCAAGTTCAGGCGTATAGATGGACATCCGTTGACACCGCCGCTGATTCCAACGAGCTGTGCATCATTGGCTCACAGATCGCGGTTGCAAGATACAACTTCAAACTAGGGATTAGAACAAAACGGAGCAGATTAAGAGAGCAGCACGAATATAGGGGAGGAAGCGGATAGAATAAAATTTAGGGGAATTAATTAGGGTTTGTGGATTTGGAGGGAATGAAACTCCAGTGGCTACAAAAGGTTCAAAACCGGTGAGGAGAGAAAGAGAGAGGCCTTATTAGCAGCCTTGAGTTCCTACAAAAGATATATCATATCTCATTTGAATTTATGTGTTTTTTTTTTCTGTTAGAGGAAATGCTATGTTTTGGATTATATTTTTGTTGAGGGGCGTGCGTAGTGGGTGACTGGTGACGATTCACGGCGATTTTATGAGAGTTTATATTTATTTATTTATTTTTTTTTTTAAGAAAATAAAGG